GTCAAAAAGAAATACTGGAGATAAAAATTGTATAGAATTCATAAACAGCAGAAATAACCAACATGAAGACAGGTACCAATGCAATCATAGTAGGTGACCTCAATAACCCAATTTCTGAAAGAGATTCACTAAACAAAGAATTCAACGAAGAAATACAAGAGTTCAAAAAAAAAAAAAAATGGAATTAATAGATAATCTACAGAGTGTCACACCTTAGAACAACAGAATACATTTTTCCCAGCAGTATTTAGAAATTTCTCCAAAATACACACAGGAACTCACAAAGCCTGATTAAATAAATACAAAAGAATTAAAATCACTCTAGGTATACTATCAGATCACTAATACTGAAACTAGAAATCAGTTATAAAAGAACCCATAGAAAATTTATAAACACTAAGAAATTTAATAGAATCCTAAATATTCACTGGGTCACAGAGGAAATCAAGGAAAAACTTAAACAATTTCTAGAACTCAATGACAATGCCAATACAACATACCAGAACCAATGGGACACAAGGAAAGTTGTTTATTGCAGTCATATTCACATTAGAAAAACAGATTAAGCTAAATAAATTAATGATGAAACTCAAAACACCTGAAAATCAACAACCCAAACTCAAGCCTAGTTTGAGAAGGAAATCACAAATATCAGAATGGAAATTAATGAAATTGAAACTCAAAAAAAATTAAAATGTCAAATTGAAGAGCTAGTTGTTAAAATAAAAAACAAAATAAAGTGAATCAAATTTATCAAAAGGATTGAAAAGACATACATCTCAGCAATTAGATATGAAAACGATGAAATCAGGATGAGTATCAGTAAAATTTCAAAAGACAGTAATTGCTATGAAAAGTTGTATGTCAATAAATTGGAAAGCTTTTAAGAAACATTGCTAAACACTAATGAATTACCAAATCTAAACCACAAAGAACAAAAGAATTCTGAACAATCCAAAATCAGGAAATAAAACTGGGGTAGAAACGAAAAACCTACTAAAAAAAAGCTGAGGACCTGACAGAATCAGTGCTGAATTCTTTTTGGAGGTGGGTAGCGGGGTTGAACACAGGACCTTGCGCTTGATCAGTGCTGAATTCTACAAGACCTTCATGGAGAATGTATTGCCAATACTACTCAAACTCTTCAATGATACTGAAAGGGAAGGAAAGCTTTCAAACTCATTCCTGGAACATGGCATTACTTTTATTCAAGAACCTGATCCCCCCCAAAAAACCCCTCAAAAACAGAAGGCCAATCTCCTTAATGAATATAAAGAGTAAAATTTCTTCCTAAGATACTGGCAAATAGAATGCAATGAATCATCAGAAAGATCACGTATCATGACTAGGCAGGTTTCATCCCAGGGACATAACAATAGTTCGCATATCCAAATCAATAAATATAATATACCACATAAACAGAACCAAGGTCAAAAATTGCATGATAATATCAATAAATTTTAACAAAAGCTTTTGACAAAAATCTAACACCCATTCATGATAAAAAAAAAACCCTAAAGAAAACAGATATAGAAGGATCTTATCTCAATCTGATAAAATCCATCCATGAATCATATTAAATAGGGAAAAGCAAAAAGTGTTCCCTAAAATACTCAGAACATGAAAAGAATATACACTATCACCACACCTGTTCAATACAATACTTGAAAAATTAGAGAAATCAGACAAGAAAAAGAGGGCTATGTACATATAGGAAATGAAATCTATCATTGTTTGAATATGACATTATTCTTTGCAGGTAAGATAAAATTCTACCAAAAGATTTCTCAAATTGGGCCGGGAAGATGGCTCAGTGGAATAAAGCACTTCCCTGCCAAGCGCAAGGGCCCGAGTTCAATCCCCGGTTCCGAAAAAAAAAAAAAAAAAAAAAAAAAGAATAACTCAGTTGGGGGCCACGGAGATGGCTCAGTGGAATAAGCGCTTCCCTGCCAAGCGCAAGGGCCCGAGTTCAATCCCCGGTTCCGAAAAAAAAAAAAAAAAAAATTTAAAGATTTCTCAAATAACAAAATGTAACAATATAGCAGGACATGAAATCAACACACAGGTATAAAAAAAACCTAAATACTATACTCAAAAATTAATTTCACTTACTCAACCAGTTACTTAGGAATTAATCTAATTAACATAACCAAAGAAGTGAAAGTCCTCTACAATGAAAACTATAAAACTTTTTAAAACAAGATCAAATAAATGAACAGAAAATGGAAAGACAAACTTGGTTACTGATTGGTACATGCAATATTGTCACAATGGCCACAATCAAGATTAAATGTAATCTGAATCAAAATACGTAACATTTTTCATAGAATAGTCAACAATCCTAAAGTTCTTATTAAACCAGAAGAGACCCAGAATATCAAAAGAAATCATAGGTAATTAGAGCAAAACAAGAAGCATCAAAATACCTGACTTCAAGTTATACCACAAAACTACCATAATAGAATGATATTCGCTCAAGAACAGATATGTACATCAATATAACAGAAGATGCAGACACAGTCCCAGATACATTCACGCAACTGATCCTTAACAAGGGAACCAAAAACATATGCTGGAGGAAAGATGCTGGGGGAAAACTGGCTACCCACATGTGAAAGAGAGAAGCTAGACTCATGTCTCACCATGCACTAAAAAGAAACAAAACTGGATCAAAGATCTAAATATTAAAATAGAAACACAACCTACTAAACGATAAAGTAGATATAATTCCTGAAGTAATAGGCATAGGTAAGGACTTTCTGAACAGAACTCCAATTGTACACACACACACACACACACACACCCCACAACAACCACCAAAAAACAGTAAGAAACAGGAAATGGGATTACAACAAATTACAAGGCTTCTGCACAGCAACTGGAACAATCAACAGAGTGAAGAGACAATCTACAGAATAGGCTTCCAGGTACGCTTGGATAAAGGACTAATAGCTAAAATAAAGAACTCAAATTAGATTCTGCAAAATAGGCATTCCAACTGAAAACGGGAAACTAAAACGGATAAGATACTTTTCTGAAGTTCAAATGGGCAAGAAGTTCAACATGGCTGGTCATTAGAGAAACAAATTAAAACAGCACTGAGATTTTATCTTGCTTCAGAAAGAATGACTATCATCAAGAAGTCAAATAATAGCAAGTGCTGGTGAGGCTGCAGTAAAATAAACAAACCTCTCCACTGGTGGTAGGAATGTAAAGTAGCACAACCATTATAAAATCAGTATGGAAGTTCTTTAGAAAACTTAAGTTCCATTCAATCCAGCCATTCTCCAGTAAGTATCTTCCCAAAAGACAAAGATATCATATTACAGCGCTACATGCATGCTCATGCTTATAATATCATAATTAATAGCTAAATCTTGGAAGCAGCTTATATGTTCACCAACTGACAAATAGATAAAGAAGGATAAATCTGAATCATCTGTAAAGAAACAGGTGCAATGGGAAAACATAATATTAAGTGAAATACATCTCACCCACAATCGTAAATACTGTATGATTTCTATCATATAGTAAGTCCAAGGTATAAATAAAGCAGCAAAAAGAAAGACATATAAAAGGAAATGGAGATATGTCTCTTACAAATGGGAAAGGTTCCAAGAGACGGGGAGTGGGGAAGGGCGACAGCGGAAGGGGACCTAAAAAGAATCAAGATAATTATACCCATAATGATTGTAATCGTTACATGTCACAAACATGAACTAAAAAAATAAGTAAAACTGGGGAATGTGATCCAGAGGAGAAAATTTAGAAGAGGAGGGCTTGAAAGGGATGGGAAGGGAACAACAAGAATCAAGGTATGGTAAGTACCTGTATGTACTTCTTAAAATGAATTTAATCAACATGTGCTGCAAACATACACAACAAAAAATGGACAAAATAAGATGCACTTAGGATTCAGTCTACAGTTGTACTTCCACGAGAACACAGAGCTGCCTATGTAAAAATGGCAAATAAAAATGCTTTAACTTCAAACAACAAACAGTAACAGTTGTCATTAATGGTTTTAAAAAGTTCAGTATAGCTACAGGATGGCATACCACGTATTCATTAAAAGAATTAGGTAGGTCTCCGTGTGCCAATATAAAAAGCTGTACAGGAAATATTAAACAAAAAAAAGGAGTTTGCAGAACAAGGATCGTCTGTTATGTTTCACACATATACATGAGGAACATGAAAGGGTTTACAGAAAGCGTTTTACCTCTGTGGTGTAGGATTAGAGCAGTGTTTCTCAACATTAGCAGTGCTAAGTGGCAGACAATTCTTTGTTATGGGAGTGGTCCTGAGCACCTGTGGGGTAGCAGCATTCCTGTCCTCTACCAACAAGAAGCCAGTGGCAAGCCTGCTTTCTCGCTTTGTACAATAGATAGTTAGAGAAACCAACATTGGGAGAAACGTAAAATTTTTCTTTCTCAAAGGCACAGGAAAATATGACTATTTAAAAAATGAACAAACAGCATAAAGCTAGCATTAGGTAAAGTATAAAACAGGCTAATAAATCTTGCTCCACTCAATACATGGTTCTCACAGAAGTTCCAAATTCAGTTTCTTATAAAACTGCCTAGCGATTTACCTATCTATCTCATCTATCCAACATGAAAACTCTTCCAGTCACAAAACTGCATAGGCTCCAGTAAAATCTCTAGCTTAGATTTGAACTCACAATTTTGCTTAAAAAATTCATAATATACTTCTTGGCAATTATAATCTTAAGAGAGACTCTTGAATTATACCATATATGTAGCTCTAGAGTTGCAACAGGGCAGATTTTAGTTTTGCTGCTTGCACCTGCACATAGGCTTTCTTTTGAATATTACTCGAAAAAAACTGTTTCAAAACTAATGTTTTACGCCAACTGAGCAGGAAAACAAACCCTTTTATATTTTCATTTCACCAGTGTATCAGAGGAGAACTTTCACATAAAATCAACAGATTGATGATGTAAACAAATCAAACAATGAGCACACTGCTGGAAAACATACCTGATTCTGGCCAGAATAGCTTGCAGAAAGCTCAGCACTGCCCTAAGTTCAGATTCTCGACAGGCTCGGAGAAGCATACTGAACCCATCATTAAGCAGTTTCTCATGGGAAGGATACAAGCAGCAGCTGGTCTCGAACACTTCTTGAACACCATCAATGTAGATGGAGAGAAGTGTCCAAAGAGTATGTCTCTGTACCATTTCTTCTTTCTTAGATACCAAGAATTCCTTTGCTTTCTCTTGGAACTCATATGACAATTTCTCAGCCAAAACACCAATATCCAGATTTTTCTGGGCATACATCAAGAGGAACGCCATCTGGCCTTTCCAAATGAGGGCTCTCTGAGATGTTCTAAAAGCTGGCTTCAGAAAATTCAGAAGGTTTAAAACATGACTTGCCACATCTTCTACCTCTGCAACAGCTGCTAGCAGTAGAAAAAGACTGAAAAAGTTCTGTAGTCCAACTTCAGTTAGTTCTTCCATTCTTTTTTGATGGAATTTAGAATATATCCTGTAACAAAAAACAAGCAATATATATATATATATTACTATTTTTGTATTCTCTTTTTAAAAAAACTAAAAGTCATAGAAATTACACAAATTCTCACAGAAGTCTACACTGGAGAACTTGAGCACCAGGTGTGATGAATCATTGAGAAACAAGATCACAACAGCAAGAAAGCAGACATTAGAGAATTCCTGTCACCCTCTGCTTTATGAAAGAAAAGAAAAATTGTGTCACTTAAAATAAGCCAGCCTCTCTTAATATTTTGAAAATTAGAATTTTTTAAAAAAATCTATGCTTTAGAAAACCTTCCTTTATAGCTTTGACTCATTACTATAAAATTTTGGCTAATTTTTAATTTTGATGTTGACATGTCACTTCTTCTACTTAGAAAACAAATTCAAACTCTCCTGGGATGCACAAAAAGTCATTAGGAGAAAACCAGAGGAGCCACTTTTTCCTTGGAGGACAGCAGATATTTCCACCATTTTCTTATAGTTGGGATGTCAATTACCTTTCTTTTATTATTAGCAAGTAAAAATGGATGTGTCATAGTTACAGCTTTGGGGATCTTAAATGTCCCCACAAAAGTCCCCATGACTTGCTCAAAAGCATGGTGCTATTAGGAGGCAGGTGGTAGAACCTCCAACAGCTGAGGCCTGCTGGGTACCTTACAGGGACGGAGAACCCAGCCCTCTCTGTACTGTTTTCCTCTCTGGCTACAGTGCTAATGGTCTGGCCCTGCCATAGCATTCCTGCCGTGACACGCTGCCTCATTTCAAGCAATGGAGACAAAAGATCTTGGACTGAAACCTATAAAACTGGACTCACGCCTTTCTTCTTTATCTGTTGATTATCTCAAGTATTTGTCATGGCAACAGAAAACTGACTACAGATTTTGTAATCTTTTTGGTACAATTTTCATTTGCTTTTACCAAAATTGTAAGGGAACACTATTAAAAATTGTCCCTACACCACTTCTCCCTCTCTCTCCCTCAAATATCCGCTCTTGTTTTGCTTATATTCTAAGACAATACAATTTAGTAAAGGAAGCATTGTTCCCAATCCGCAGATAAACTGTTCATGTTCAAATGTTCAAAAATAACCATTAAAAGATTAACTACTACTTAAAACCACTTAATAGTTGTAATTTTTTCAGCAGTTAAGCTTAAATTTGCTATTTAGTAAGTTTTATAAAGTTTATAACTGATTTACTCAGGGCAATAAACCCTAAATAAATCAATTCATTCAGAAAGAACTAAATGAAAGCTGATACACTTCTGAAAATAAAGATGTGTTTAAATTTGTGTTCTCTATCCTCCCCACTACAATGCTTGACATATAGTTATTTATGTAATAAAACGACTTTCTACTAAATGAATTTCAATAATTTATTTTTAATAAAGTTCTGGTTAAGTCTTTCATAAAATTACATAATGTTAAAAACCAAATGTGCAAACAGAGCAGCAATGACAAGAGCACTGGGTACTGGGGTAGAGCCAAGTGGTGGGGGAGCATGCTCCGCTTCCCAACAAAACTACTGCTTGGAACATGTAATTATTAAAGGTGTAAAAAGAAACTACCTTTTTCCAAAAAGTATACTCTATCACCATAACCTTGCTCATTGGGGGAAGAAAATTAGAATTTGATTCTTAAGAAGTATCTGCTGAGAATAAGTATCGTGTTGAGAGGTTCCAACAAATGAGATGAAAAAGTGGTAAATAACTCCATCAAGAGGGCTGATGAAAGGGACAACAGGCAAGGAAGTAAAACCAGGAGAAAAATGATATGCAGTTTATCATGTCAGAAATGAAAAGAGAGCACATTCCCCAGATAAAACATCAGGGTTACCTGGTCTTAACTACATTCTTGTCAGCCCTCACTCAAGGGAGCCAGTGCTTACTGAATAACGGGTCTCAAAGAACACAAAAACCTATTAGTTGCCAATGAACCATACAGAGACTTTTATTCCTATAACTTTTAATTTAATGTAATGTAATCACTACATATAAATTTGACCAAAAAAAAAAAAACAAAAAAACCCAACAACAACAACAAAACCCTAATCCTTTTCTAAAAGTCCTGTATTCAATAAATAAAAATCCAATCTAGGTGTACTAGGTACTACACAACCATTTATTCCAGCATACTTAGGCAAGAAGATAGCTAGTTCAAACCCACATTGAGCAACTTAGCAACTTAAAAAAAAAGAGCTGGGGCTGCAGCTCAGTGCCCAGTACTACAGAAAGAAATGTCATCTTAAATAGTGATGAGATGACTAAGAAACTAAGACCTTCTCCAAGCTCCATATTTTACTGTTGTGAATGAAAAAACACATTTTAAATGTACAAAGAATTTCTGACTATAAGAAAACTTAGGGTTGTATAAATAGTAATGCTTCTCCAAACATATCAGTGAACGTTCATGACAAAAAGATACTACATTCACCTTCCTTTGACTTGTTTCCAAGGATGAGGTCCATTGGTCTTCATGGCTTTCTTAACAATCTTTGCCAAAATGCAAAGAAAAATGGTAAAACTACTGTATGATTTAGACAGATCATGATCTTGTTTATCATAACAGCAAGTCTTCACCATTTCAAGCATAGACAAAGGAGACTTGATATTAACAAGACCTTTCAAAGGAAGCCAAGAAACAGTGAAGGAACTATTCTAAAAGTAAAAAGATGGATAATAAGTATTAGTTTCTTAGTAAATAAAAAGATGCAAATTTCAGTTAACTCCTTAAAAGATTAAATAAGCTTAATGACACAGTATTTACTATGGTATCATCATAATATATCACCCTAAATAGTTCTTTAAAGAAGTGTTTCTTTAAAGGTATGTTCACAATTTAGGGTGTCCCCAACATGTGCTTTTAACAGCTGGTGTGTCCAAATTAGGACACAAAGCCCACACAGCCTTTGGAAGATACGCCCATAAAAGATATTACGTTCATCTGCCAGGTTTTGCTAACACCATTCATCTTTTTGTATCAGATCAGTTGTTGCACTGTACTCTAGGCCCATCATCCAGATCTGTTAACATGACAGAACAGACTGGCTTTTTCACAGCTCTGTGTACTTTTCTATACCAATTTTTTAGCTCTCACACTTTTTGTTGTGTAATTGGAAAATCCCACTCATCAAGGCCAAGTTCAAATATCTTGATTCATGTTAAATCTTCCACAAGACTTCCACTGGGTTAGATATGTCTCTCCCTGGCAATGCACGGTATTTAAACTTTCCCCCCCAACATGTACATACATATCTGTCTATGGGCCTACAACCTACTCAGGTACCAAGATGGTGTCGTATTCAGGAAACAGGGCTGATTCAAGGTGTTTTAGGGAATCAATAATTATTAGAAAACATTTATAAATGAGGATTAAAAAGATCTTACTGCTACAATTTTGGCTACTTGTTTATACTCATTCTCCAGAGCAAAAAGATACCAAATGCTAGCTTACTCTAGTCCATCTTCAACCAAAACTAATCTGCCAGGAAAAACTCATAGCTACTAATAATTAAGTCATAAAAACATTCTGCTTATCATACAAATTCTTCAAATTTCTGGAGTAAATTTATATTTCTTTACTTACCAAGTTTTTACTGTAATATTCCCAAAGAATGTTGACAATTGTAATATTTGGTTCCCAAAACTCACAAAGTATCAAACAACAGTGAAGATACATTCGTAATTGCTCCTCTAGTACACCTTCCTGAAGAATAAATTGAAGTTATGAAGGAACAAGTAAGCTCTGGCTACATGAATATTATTTTATACTGTACAACCTATAGTTAAAAAAAAGAAAAAAAGAACAGGGATCCCCAAATCATAGCCATTCCTATCTTCAGATTAGAAGACCTAAATCAACCTAAGGTATAAATTCTAAAAACTAAATTTATGGACCATAAACTTATTTGAGAATAGAAGCTATATAACCCAAAGACTTAATCATATTACTTAATAAATATATGTGTTTTATACTTGGATGGTGTTAGAAACTCAAATAATAGAAAGCAAATCTAAATCAAAGTGGTAAAAATAATCTAATAATCAGGATTATACAAATTCAGTAGGCTTGACGTAAGGGTCTACAATTTGACAATATTGAAACTATTTTTTGTTTTGTGTTTTGAGACAGGTTCTCACTATATAGCTCAGATTGGCCTTGAACTCACTAGGGAGCCCAAGAGTGTTGGGATTAGAGGTTTATGCCACCACACCCAACCTAAAAATAATTAATGATTATGGCAAAACAATTTAGGGTATGGTGAAAACAAGCACACAATGTGCATTGTTAAGAAATAACAGGAAGTAAAGAAATAAAGGTATTTAAGTGAAGATTTAAATAAAGAACAGTGCAAAATAAAAAATAAATTCAGTGCAAAATAAAAGAATTATTTCTTGACAGAAACAGTAACCTTGCCAATATAAATGAAAAGCAGTCTGAGAAGTACAAAGTAAACAGAGATCTGAATGTGAAAAAATATGAGTTCTCACTAAATGCTGGGCATTAAATGGAAATAACATAACTAATACACTAGATTGTCACAGACGTTAAATACATTAAGTGTTAAGTACAGTGCTTATACAAAGATAGCTACTATTTTATTTGCATCATAATCCGTGAACTGAAAGCTATATTACAAAGCCATTGTGATAAAAATACCATACTACTACCGAAAGGAAAGGAAAGGAAAAGAAACTTTATAATGGCTACCTCTTAGGAACAACCCATATGCCCATCCACAGATGAATGGTTAAGTGCATCCTTGCACAAAGGAGTACTACTCTGCCATAAGAAGGATAAACTGGAGCCATTTATAGGAAAATGGATACACCTTTATGCCATAATCCCACATGAAATTAAGCAGCACACAAGTTTAAATATTACATTGTTTCTCTTGTTTCAGAAACCCAAAGGGTAAGTAAGCAGCACAATGGAAGATAGATACGGGGAAGTAGAAAGAATATGATCAAGTGGGAAGGGAAACTAGAAAAAGGGAGAGAGGGAAAGGAAAAGGAAAAACAGACCAGGAAAAAAATAAGAGACTCCAGACCAAGATGGCAGAGTAAGCAGCAGAGTAAGAACCTGAATGATGCATCCAGAGGTGGGATTATAGCAGCATGAGGAGGACATGAAGGGCAGTGGGTTCCTTGAACCCAGGAAGTATCTGAGGTACAAACTGAAGTCTATGGAGAGCAAAGAGAGAAACTTCAATGAAGGAGGTAGCAGGTGGCGCCTTCCCCCCAAGACTGGACTCACTGAGCAAGAGGTGCGATTCAAACCTGCACACATATGCTGGACGCCTGCGACCCAGAGGCCTTCACAGAGAGACGCGGTAGTGGAGGGGAGCAGTGCATGTGAAGTGCTGAGGGCTCAGTTGTCCCACAGGAGAGAGTGCTTGGCTGAGAGCCATCTTGGAGAGGGGCCAGCCCAAAGGCTGCTGACTGAATCCAGGGGCTCCTAGCTGGGCTCAGGCCCACAGTAGGTGTGCTGTCCGCTGAGGCTGAATGAGCTACTGCTGGCTTGCTGGGATGAATCAACTGGATTTGGGCTCTGTCTCCACATACTGCCTGCCAGACAGCAGAGACAAACCTGGAAGTGGACTTTTTTTAATCCTCTCTTTTTTGCTTGTTGTTGTTGCGATTTTGCTATTGGTTTTTTCTTCATTGTTTGACCTTGTTTTTGTATGAGTGAAATGTGGTTTCTAACCTCTTTGTGGTTGTGGTTCTGTTCTGTTCTATCTCTTTCCCTCCAGTCTTTTGTGCCAGTTTCCCAAAGTTAGCGAGATCCCCTTTGTCCTCCAGCCTTATCTTTAATCTCCTCTTCTTCTTCTACCTCTATTTTTTCTATGACCCATTTTAATTAATTAATTAATTAAATTGTTTTTGCAGTACTGGGGATTGAACTCAGGACCTTGCACTTGCCAGGCAAGCGCTTATTGTACTGCGCTATCTCCCCAGCAACTTCTTTTTTTTCTGTCCCCAGCCTCTTCTGACCCATTTTAAATTTAATTCCCAAGAGTAAAATTGACATATTAAGTACTTATGTACTACATACAACTTTTTGGTCTCTTTTAGAGTTTGTTACATAACCACAAATCTAGTACATATGATTCAAGATAGAAAAAAACTTTTTTTTCTGTACTTTTTTTAGGGAAGGCGCTACAGGGTGTTCAGGGTCTCACTACTAGCTCAGACTTGTAGTGATTCTGTTTACAGCCTCCCAAGTGCTGGGATTACACGCGAGTGCTACCATGTTCAGTCTCAATCACTGTTTTAGTGCACACCAGGGGTGGGGGTGAGGCCGGCACAGCAGGTCCAGGGATCAAACCCCTGGCCCCAGCGCCTGTTTGCAGGTGCTTTAATCCACTGAGCTATTTGGTTGGCTTTTTTTCAAGGTAGAAAATTAACATTTATCTCAGTCTGTAATTTCCTAGTCTGTATTTGACTCTATTGTAATTGCAGATGGTACCAAGTTAGCTAAAAGTGACATAATAGTGCAAAACAGCTCTTCTGATATTTCAAGATTGATTGACTAAAGATCATAGAAAATACTGTGGCACACTGCCAAAGAACCGGAATGGGCCAAACAGGCAGTAATTTCTCATCCCTAACAAACTGAAGAGATAGGATCTTGTAACAGACTCAAAATTCAAAAACCATCTATACCTGAACATACTTCAGAGTAGTCATCTGCTAAGGGTTCTAAATAAAGCAATCCATCATAAGCAAATTAGAGCCAGGGAGACAGCTCAGCAGAATAAATGCTTGCTTGGCAAGCACAAGGGCCTGAGTTCAATCCCTGGTTCCGCAAAAAAAAAAAAAAAGCAGATTAGAAGCATCACCCCAGTAATTAAACTAAAAAAAGAAAACACTAATACAAGATGCAATCCCAAACATCCGGCTCACCAAAGGCAAACCCAAGGGGCAATAAGATGGGGCAATCTGAAAGCCACCCACCTGGCCTCTCTGAAGTGGCAACAACAAAGCAACTAAAGAAGGCTCTAAATAAAACAAATCAGAAATAACTTCTTAATTAACTACTACAGAGATCATATCCACAATGAACACCAACCATGTTTAGTGACTCTAGAGCAGATACAGACAAAAAAATAGAAGAGCTTAAGAAAATCATGGAAGCCATGAATGTTTAGCATAGGAAAGGAATGAAATCCGTAAGGCAGATTCAAGCATATACACAAGAGAGTAAGAATTGTACTGAAAGTATGTCAATTAGATTAAGCCAATGTGACGACAGGATTTCAGATACAGAAGACAGGCTTCCCAGAATCAGAAAGACTACCACAGTGGTATATATGCACATGTTTATAGCAGCACAACTGCAGTAGCTAGATCTTGGAAATAACCCAAATTCAATGAATGGATAAAAAAGTACTACTCAGCCATAAAGAAGGATAAACTAGAGACTTTTATAGCTACATGGATCCAACTCAAGATCATACTCATAAGTGAAATAAACCAGATGAACCCGTGCAAAAACTTTACTGTTTCCCTAGTGTGAGAAGCTGAAAGAGTAAATAAGTTCCCAAACATACAATAGATATTTTAAAATTGGAAGAAACTGTTCAAAAGGAAGGAGAAACTGGGATGGGGGTAAGGAAAAAAGATGGCAAAACCAAACCAAGCCAAAACAAAAAATACACACAAGACAGTCACACTAATTTCTCATAGTTCATTGAACAGAAAGGTTTGTCCTAATATTATTTGGACAATTAAATGCCTATATCCTGTACACTTAGTATCTAATTTGAAACTAATAATACACAATGTATTATCCACTATTACCCTATTTTCCTGTTGTGAAATTGTTCTTCTGTTTGCTTGTTTGTTTAAAATTTAAAAAAGAAAAAATAGAAAGCTTTTGTAATTGGGGAGGGCAAGAAAGACTGAAGGGAAGGGAGTGAAATAGGGAAAAAAGAAAGAATCAAGATACCATATACAGGCACAAACTCCCTATGGCAACTGTAATCAATATGTATAATATGTATTAATAAAAAAATTTTAAAGATTTCAAAAAAGTCAGATTGGCATTTTCACCCTTTATAAAACTATAAAAACTGTTTTTGGCTTCAGAAAATAATGAGGCTTCTAAAAGTAAGAGTATTTTTAAAAACCTTCATTTTTCATGTAAAAAACAATGGCAGGGCAAACATATACAGTTAACATTAACAAATGTTAAATAGGATTACCTCTTGAAACCTTTTTAAAGCACTTTCCTATTCAAGGTAAAATTAAACAATATATACTTTCTTTACTAATCTTAATCTCAGTGTTTGTTCTGGAAGATCATCTCTACATAACAAAAGATGAAAATGTCTGCTTAATTAAAACTACAGTGGGGCCAGGGAGATGGCTCAGTAGAATAAGCGCTTGCCTGGCAAGCCCACGTGTCTGAGTTCAATCCCCAGTTCCGCAAAAAAAAAAACAAAAAAACAAAAAACTACAGTGAGATATCTGCAAATTTTACCTGAAGATCACTACATATCTGAAGGTTGTGTTTGTTTAAAAATTATCATCTTATAACCAATAGCTTTTTTCACTGTTGGAGATTAAGTGTAAGGGCACTGTCAGGTCTTATTCACCTCAAAGGGGATAAAAGTGGATGTAATCTGATAACTCTATTCCAAATGCATTATTTCTTCTTTATGATCACCTGTTGTAACCCCCAAACTGTATTCAAGAATCTCAGCAAATAACATTATAAAGTCCTACAATGAAACCTATTTGATGCAATTAAAATATAATAAAGAATATCAGAAAGAACCTTAGGATTATTCCTTCCTAAATATTACAATGAATCCTTCCAGTGCAGGAATACTACTTTGACCTTAGGTAAGACACTGACCAGTAAGATTTCTTGGATTAGCTGTAGCATCCCTACTTCATCATGTTTTACCAGGCTTCCCTGTTTTTCAAACAGAAACACCAGGCCAGACAAACCTGGATAGCTGATCTCCAAACTTCTAAGAATTACATATTTATGTTCAAAATAGCTTTAATAGCTTCCATTAAAATATTGATTATATTGTAAAATAACACTATGTACTGTCATTAGAGGTAGAAATTTGGTTCACTGGAAAAGTATGAAAAGCATGTGCTTAGTGAGTAAAGGCCTGGATTCAATCCCCCAAGCAAGCATAGTCTACTCTCTGTCTCTGTCTTTTTCTCTCTCCTTCACCCCCAACAGAAAAAAAAAAATTACTTTGCAGGAACTTAATAGTGTTTAAAAAGCACTTTTAACCTTAGTAAAAAGCAAATTCCTCTATGGAATACATGCTGACAAATTCTGTTTTCTCTGACCAGTATGGGCATCTGTATTTCTCCACATCGCCTTTTAGAAACAACTAAGAAATACTCTGTAACATAAAAACCTACCTAAACAAAATCATAGGTTAATATATTATTACAGATAAGAGAAAATTTAAAATTATTAATGTGACAGAAACAAGTTTTGAAGGAAGTTTAAAGGACACACAGTTTCAACTTGCTATGGAACTTAAAGTTCTCTGTAACTCAGATGTAGTAACTAATACTAGAAAAAAAACCCACAATCTAGACTTTACTGAAAGCACTTTTAATTAGCATTAAAGGAGTCATGCCAAGGTACTGAAACTGAAAAAAACTGATACAAATGACAATGACCCTGTAACACAGACATTTATTAGTTCACAACCACTTTTTAATGATTACTTATATTTCTGAAATAAAGACACATAAGCACATTTTTTGAGTTAATAAATCAGGATATTCTCAGAAAGAATGAAGGAGAATGTCAATTAAATGACAGGAAAAATAAAATACAAAGAAGAGAAAGATTTCACAATGGTTAAGGCAAGTTCTCAGACGACAAGAAGTCTATTGTTCCGGGAGACAACCCACTCAGGGACCCCCTCCTGTCCCTCTCTTGGACTGGAGCTTTCTTTCCCTCAATAAATATATTCTACTCATATTTACATACATATATATATGT